AGAGAGAGCTCCTAACAGTAACATGGTTCCGGTGCTGTATCTAGGATGGAGTGATCTGGCTAACCTTGTGCTGTACCTTGCGAGCCAAGGCTGTTTGTCTTTTAGTGTAAGGGTTGTTTTAACAAACAATGAACTTAAGTCTCAGTTTGTTCAAGTATCACCTTGTGGTTCTCGTTCATGTCTCTGTTATGTGCTCATTCATTTTGGTTTGTCAAGCTTCTTCCTTCTTTCTAGTAGTGCTTCTTTGCAACCAACAGTAGTTCATGTCAAGAGGTGGTTGTTCAACTAATAACCCCATCTTGTGAATAGTTCCCAATTCTGACTTTAGCTTCACATGTTAGGGATGCTGTGCATCATTCTTCTGTTTCCCCTTGATTTTATTACATGTTGCCAAGTCTTTCTCAATACAAAGGATATATACACCAAAATAATGCATGAATAAAAATGAATGGGATTTTCAATCATATGTTATAGACTTTCTCTATCTATGTGTACGGGCAAGTTTGTCAAGTCAGGTGATGAACTTCATATTGAGTCTGTGAAGAGATACTGCTGGATAGTATATGGATGCATGAATTTTTCTGAACTTTGGAAGTAGAATGATTACATGGTTGTCTTTGATCTTTGAAGAAATAGAGTCTGGTAGCACCTTTCTCTTGCTCTGTACCATCAACTCACTGAGCTCATCTTGATTCAATGGTATCGGCCATTTCAGTGAATAGACAATGTAACTTTTTGTTGAAGAAACAACTTGACTATCTTAGGCCAAACCATATGGATCTACTTTGTGGTACACATCTTCTTTAATTATTTCTCCTATATTATTTTGCAGGACACTGGTATTTGACAAAAATTTACTGCTTTTCTCCAATTAGTTCTATTTCTTAGTCATCCACTGCTCTCCTTTAGCTAGTTTTTACTGAATGACTCAAATCACATGTAGACAATTATACAAGTTCATGCTAGCTGGATGTGGTGAAAGCTTGACTTTAGAATTTTCTCCGTGAGAAGATCCATTTGTTGTTATGAGAGTTTGAATGTGAACCATAAGGGACATAAGCCAAGAAGCTTTTGATAGATGCAGTATAAGCGGGAGCATCAAATACTCAAACAAGTGTATCTATCTCATGAATTATGCAATATTATGATCTGAAATTTGGTATGCATAAACTGGACTCAAATATTTTTAAATGAATGTCATATTGCTTTCTGAAAAATTATTCATCGATCTCGTAAAAGAACTTATTCATCAATCTCATGTTTACCATGTCACATGTTGTTTACTATAATTAATAGTATGCCGAACTGAAATAAACACCTCCACTTTGAATCTGCAACTTGTAGAGAATGAAATTTAGTGTGAAACTTTAACATTGCAAAACTTGAAGACCTTTTAATGTGCCAAAAATCACAGAAATCCTGTACTTCTAGGTCCCTGAGCTGATAGCTTGAAAATTGGTTTTTTTTTTTTCCTATCTGCAGTTTTCTGCAAGAACATGGCCCCAATTCTAGAGATAGAAAAGTGGTTGGGATGCTAATGGATAACCCAGGATGACCCCTAGGGACTCAGATCCACACAAAAGGGGGTTCAAGGCTTAACCTAATAGGACTCAGGTCACTACTCCCTCTCTAACCCAATGAAAACCAGGCATGGTAATCAGAGGTATTAGGAGCAAACCATAGTTGTTGCGATCGGGAGCAGGAACGGTATTGGGATCGGGATGGGGAGCAAGGGATCGTGAAATGCTAGAAGATCCCTATAGTTAGGAAAGCCAGCCATACAATTCACATTTTAGGGATCAAGATCCCCAAATATTAGGGGTCGAGATTCGAACCTTTTTGGAGTCCTTGATCCTGACCTTTTGGGATCTTGATCCCAACTTTTTGTTGAGTTTTCTACAAACATTAAAGCATATGATAATCTAGGATTATGTGTACTCTTAAAAGGAAGGATCTCATTATTAATAGCAAGCAAGCAATGCAACTATATTTAAAGTATAGTTGTGCTGCTAGCTAGCTATAAACAAAGAAAATCATCAGTTTGGTTGTTGTCTTGGTCTTTAGGGTTGGGATCACGATCCCCAACAGTAGTAATCGGGATCCCTATCAATGGGGATCGAGATCCCTGATAGATCCGTTTCGGGACTGACATAATCGAGATTTTGGAAGGGATCACCTACCAAAGTAGGAGATTCTGCTAACTATGGAGCAAACCCAAGATGCAACCCTCCTTGATTTGAGTCTACAGCTATGAAAGTGGGTTCTCCAATCGACTACTTATAGTTCGAGAAGGCCTTTGCACATTTTTGCATATTCTGCAATACAAGGAGGCACACAGCCTTCCAAATTCTTGTTTTCCATATTCAATTCATTGACAATCATGTTCATGAACTTGTCGCTCTGAATTCCACCAAAGATTCTCATCTTTCGAATGCAATAGGTGTTCTAGCATTTCGAATTCCATCAAAGATTGTTGACCTTCTGAATATAAGTAGGTGTCTGATTGTTTTGAATTCCATCAAGGACTGTTCGCCTTCAGAAGACAAAGTCCACGAATGATTGTTCGTCTTTCGAATACGAAGGTTTTAGGCTTTAGGCCCATAACCAGCCGAGACAAAATCCAACAAGGTCTAGATGATGTGACCCAGACTGTTGCGCACTGGGTTTTTGGTCAGGTTTGAGCCCATATATATATATATATATATATATATGTGTGTGTGTGTGTGTGTGTGTGTGTGTGTGTGTGTGTGGTCG